CGTTGTATTCTGGCTGCTTTCCGTTGTGGCCGTGGGATGTGCGTTGGGCGTGGTTCTTGTCCGAGACTTGTTCCGCGCCGCCCTGCTGCTGGTCGCAGTTTTCGTCGCCATCGGCGGGTTTTTCGTTTTGCTCAACGCCGAATTTCTGGCAGTGGTGCAAGTGCTGATATATGCCGGGGCCATTGCAGTGCTGATCATTTTTGCCGTATGCTCACCGCGCGGACGTGCCGCAGGGCATCACCAGTAATCGAGTGCGATACCGCCGCCGTCCTGGCGGCGCTGTTGCTGGCAGCCCTGGTGGTCGTCGCAGTGGACACGCAGTGGAATTTCCTGACCGACGAGGACCGGCAGAGTGTTGAGCTGGTACAGACGGCGGCTGTCGCCACGATCCCTACCGAAACGCTGGAGAGAGCGGGCGTGACCGATGCGTCTGAACAAGTGTCGGCTCAGGAAGCAGGCCCTCGCTTGCCTGACTGCTTATCGGTAGTAGCGTACCTGCATTCGAGCGGTGTCGGTGCTTCTGCTAGCGGCACTGATTGGCGCGTTGGCCCTGGTGCGGCCCCACGCTGCATCGGGCGTATCCAACCCCGGTGTTTCCGGGCCGGACGCGGACTAGCCGGGTATGTCCTTCGAATCATTCCTCATCGTCGCAGCGGTGCTGTTCTGCATCGGACTTTACGGATCGTTGGCCCGCCGAAACGTGCTGGCAGTCCTGATGTCCATCGAGCTGATGTTCAACGCAGTAAACGTCACCGTGGTGGCAATGGCCAAATACCTGGCCCCCACCGGGTTGCAGGAAAACATCTCCTCGGCCCTGACCGGTCAGGTGTTCGCTGTATTTGTCATAACGGTGGCCGCGGCGGAGATCGCACTGGGGCTGGGCATAGTTTTCGCCATGTACCGTACCAACGAAACGGTGGACCTCACCGAGGCCTCCCAATTGAGGCACTAGGCACTGTAGAACCAGACAGCCCTGAGCAGGCTGGAATATGTGGGTAGAGTTCAGAAAAGCGTCGAACCTGATGCTGGCAGAGATGTGGAAAGAGGTCCTCGAGGGCGAGGGCCTGCCGACCCGTATTCTGCCGGAAGGCGACATATTGGACTGGAGCGAACGGGTGCCCTTCAACATCTACGTTCCCAAGGGGCGTGAACACGTGGCCGAGGAGATCCTGAGGAAGCTGTAGATGGTCAACGAAGCCTTAGTATGGGCAATTTTTCTGCTTCCCCTGGGCTCCTTTGTCCTGATAGCCCTGGTTATACGGCCTTTCCTCAATCGCTGGCCGTTCCTGGCTGCCCTTAGCACCATCGCCGCGTTAACCGCCTCCACCGTGCTTGCCATAGTGACCCTGCGCGGGGTCATAGTGCACCAGGCCGAGGTGTTCAACAGCTGGGACTGGCTGACTTACGGCGGGGCGACGATACAGATGGGCCTGCTGGTTGACCCGCTGACTGCCGTGATGCTGGTGGTCGTGACCTCCATCAGCCTGCTGATCCAGATTTACTCCGTGGGGTATATGCAGGACGATCCTGGATTTGCCAGGTATTTCGCCTTCATGTCCCTGTTCACGGCCTCGATGCTGGGGCTTGTCCTGTCCAGCAACATCGAGTGCAGACAGCTGTATATGCGCTCTGCGGAACTGGTGGGCCCCGTCGTCGTACCTCCTGATCGGTTTCTGGCATGAGAGGTCCGCCGCCGCCGCGGCTGCCAAGAAGCGAGTCCATAATCACACCGCATCGGGCGATCTGTGGGATTCCTGTATTGCCATCTGTACCTGTTCTCAAGGCTCAGATGACTCGCCGCCGTTGGGCGCAACGCATCCACATACCACGACATCTGGCAGGCGGCGCAGCCCGTGGCTCCGCCGGTGCCGCTGTGCTGGGCGGCGCGGCGCGTACTGAGTGGCGCTCGCATTTTGCCGGAGCGTAAGTCGCACAGTTCCCGCTGCACAACATGCCTGGCATGCGCGACTGCCATGGAGGGCCCGACGCCCGTAAGCGCGCTGATCCACGCTGCGACAATGGTGGCCGCAGGGGTGTTCCTGGTGGCCAGGTTCTTCCCGGTCTTTCAGCAGTCTGATTCGGCCATGGCGGTGGTGGCGCTCATCGGCGTGTTCACGGCTGTGATGGCCGCGACCTTGGGCAACTCGTCACTTGAACGACATCCAGCGGGTCTGTATAGGGCCTATTCCATCAACGGTGACGCCAGCTGGGCATACAATCGATGGCCCGCACGCGGACTGCCTCACGCGCGCGGCGATCTTCCACCTGTCAGTGCCCCATGCCGTTTTCAAGGCGCTGCTGTTCCGGGCGCGAAGGCCAGAGCGTCGCAACCACGCAGCGGCACAGTCCGACATGTCATACACTGGGCGGGGCGGCTGCGACTGCGAAAATATATGACCGCCACTTACATCCTCGTAATGATTGCCTCTATGAGCCTGATCGGCATCGTCCCCATGGCCGGGTTCTGGAGCAAGGACGAGATACTGCTGGCGGCCTTCGACGGCAACAGCCATTTCGTCGACTGGATCAATATCGTCACCTTCGTTGGTCTGATCGTTGGCGTGGTTTTCACTGCGTTTTACACGGTCCGTATGGTGATGTTGACCTTCTATTGCGGAGAAGTGTCAGGGAGGCGTGGATCAGGAGATGCGGACTGCACCGCAGCTTGCAGCTGCAACACACGCACACGCATCAGATGCTCCAGATAGATGACGACGATCATGTGAGGAAGGGTGTCCCCCACGGCGGCGTGCACCTTGGCACGATCGCCGTTGGTGATGGTGGCGCCGATGGCGGTGCTCGGGTTGGGCGCAGTTGTGATTGGTTATACACCATCATCAAACCCTAAGTGATCAAACTTCCTGGTATCCCGTCAATGGGTAACAGGATTCTTGCCGACGGGCTGCTGGATGGCTTTGGCTGCCACCGGGGGTGAGGGGCACGCGGAACTGCCAGACTTCAGCTGGCCCATGGCGGGGATCTCCACCGCCGCCGCTGTAGGCGGTGCGCTGGCGGGCCTGGCGGTGTACGGGCTGCGTCGAGACCAGACGCGTGACCCTTTGCGAATTCTGGGGCCGGTCCACACACTGCTTTCGCAGAAGTATTACGTGGACGCTCTCTATGAAAATCTGATAGTCCGGCGAAGCTTTTACCGGGTGTTCGCCGCATTCGCCAATTGGCTGGACCGCCGGGTGGTGGATGGAACCGTCGACCTTGTGGGCTGGTTCTTCCGGAACATCGGCTCCGCTGTTGCCCGTCTCCAGACGGGGCAGGTGCAGGCCTACGGAACGGCCATCGCCCTGGGCTCTATGCTAATCATTCTTGGTTTCCTGTTGGCATCGTGATCGGGTTTAAGGGTAACGACTTTTACTGGCACCTGAGTTCAACGGACTGCTGACCGCGACAGTGTTCCTCCCCGCCGTCGGGGCGGTGCTGCTCTTGCTGTTGCGGGGCGACAAGGTCATTCGCGGCGCGGCGGTTGCCATTGTCTTGGCAGACCTGGTGCTTGCGCTATTGGTCTTTGCGCTTTTCCAGCGGGGCGAAGATGCCGCGCGCTTTCAGTTCGTTGACCAATTCTCCTGGATACCCGACGTTGGGCTGAAGGCCTCATACCTGCTGGCGGTCGACGGGCTCTCCGCTCCGCTGGTGGCGCTGACCGGACTGCTTGGCCTGTCCGCTGTGCTGGCTTCGTGGCACGTTGGGACGCGGGTCAAGGAATATTTCTTCTGGCTGTTGATATTACAGGCCGCGGTGAGGTGCGTGTTTCACGCCTGGCACCTGCTTGCTCTTCTTCTGTTTCTGGAGCTGAACTGGTGCCGAATGTACATGCTCATTCTCCATCTGGGGACCGCGGGGGGGCGCAAGAGTACTCGGCCAAGTGAAAATTCCTGATCTTTACCATCCTCGGCAGCGCGTTCAATGCTGGTTGCCATCTCCGCATGGTTTCTCACGCCCGAAGTCGGCACCTTCAATATTATCGAGCTGTCAGCAACGGGAGGCCTGCTGGGGTCGGTGCGGCCACCCTGCTGGCTGCCGCTGTCTTGTTGGTCTGCTGGCTTTCTCGTTTCCTTTGCCGTCAAGTTGCCCACCTGGCCGCGCACACCTGGCTGCCTGACCCTCACACCGGCCGACGCTCCCACTCCGCCAGCGTGATGCTGGCCGGGGTGCTGCCTGAAATGGGAGGTTACTGACTACTTAAATACAAAACCGACCTCCCACTCCTCTCCATCCCCCTCCGGCATAAAACCCATTACTGACGGCGGGCGGAAAATAAAACCCTTCAATACGTATCTCCCCGGCCATTAATACACAATTACAACGAAAAAAAACATCACACACCTGATTAACACCTGTCCCCTAAACACACACCCACTTGGCCTCCTTTCGATTTAACGAAACGGGGACGAAACTACGGAATAATACGAAAAAAAAACAACAAATTAGCGGGACGAAACAAAAAACTAAACGCGCAACGACCTTACTAAGAACATACAAACGTATAGTAGAAAAAAAAAAAAAAACGGTAAACCTAATACGTGATTCTATACATATACTATACATTACGATACAAAATAGCTACTCCATAAAGAATAATAACTTAACGGGGAAAAAACCCAACGAAAAAACGTATTAAAGTTAAAACAACGCGATTACAATATAAATAAAATACTTAAAAACAAAAAAAACCGAACTGAACAATAAAAAATCACAAATAGTTACCATGAAACCCTTATATACTACATAGAAATACCAAACACTGATTATACGGTCCTATTTTTCTCTAGCTGTAACGCATATAAAAAAAAACAACACGGTAAACGACCGAAACGAAAAATTTACAAGTAGGCCTGTTGCGGGTGAATGTGGGGCTGTCCCCCCCCCGGGCCAATTGGAATTTGCGTGGTGCTGGTGTCGCATTGGTGTCAAGTATTCTGTATGCGCCGTGGTCAACATGCCCAAACGGACCTGAGCGGTTGATCGCCTACTCCAGCGTCAGCCACATGGGGCTGGTGCTGCTGGGTATAGGGTCGGTGGGTGTCGCCGGAGGTACACTCACGGCCACCGGGTTGAGCGGCGCCGCGATGCAGTTGTTCACCCACGGCACGATCACTGGCCTGCTGTTCCTGGCGGTAGGGCTGGTCTACGAGAAGGCGCACACCCGCTACATACCCGACCTGGGCGGGCTGGCTGGCCGGATGCCGTTCGTGGCCGCGGCAATGCTGATTGCGGGACTGGCATCGCTGGGGCTGCCCGGGCTCAGTGGCTTCGTGTCGGAACTCCTGGTGTTCCTTGGGGCCTATCGGGCGTATGACTGGCCGACGGTGCTCGCCGTTCTGGGCATCGTGCTGGCGGCCGGATACATCCTGTGGATGATGGAACGCACTTTCTTTGGGCCTCCGCGGGAGCGCTTCGCTGACCTCACCGACGCCTCGCTGGTGGAGGCCGCTCCCCTGGCGCTGATGGTTGTCTGCATCATTGGCGTGGGGATATACCCTTCCTTGTTGACCGATATGTTCGATACGGCCCTGGAACCAATGGTCGGCCATCAACGGCGGCTGACCGGCAATGAATGCCCACGACGTATATGCAATCTCACCGTACCTGGCGATGGCGGGCGCGGCAGTCCTCGTCATTGTTCTGGACCTCGTGCTGCCAAGGCGGGCGGGAGGAATGCCTGCGTACCTGGCTCTCCTCCTCCTTGCCAGAGTCCTTGGCGTTCTTAGCTCTGATACCAGTTCTATGACCTGGGGCAGGCCTTCAACCTGGTGCAGGATGGGTCCGGCGGTGAGGCCAGCATCCTTATAGGCAGCATTTCGGTCGACCGGTTTGCGCTTTTCTTCAACTTCCTGGTGACCGGAGCGGCGGCGCTGGTGGTGCTGGCTTCCACCGAGTACGTTAAGCTGATGCCCCGGTTCCGTGGGGAATACTTCGGGCCTTTGCTCTTTTCTGCCACGGGCATGATGCTGCTGGCCGCAGCCACCGAACTGATAACCATTTACGTCGCCCTTGAGTTGACCAGCCTGCCGATCGCTGCCCTTGCGGCGTTTCTGATGAGCGGACGCTCCAGCGAAGCAGGAATGTAATGACGTCCTCTCATCGGCGCAATAAGCTTCGGCCCCTGTCTGCTCTGATGGGATGGCGCTGGTTTTCGGGTTCACCGGAAGCACCGAACTTTCCGAAATCTCTGCTGCCGTGAGCGGGGCGGGAGGCGACGTCGCCTTCGGCAATTACGCCCTTCTGGTGGGAGTTGTCCTGCTGGTGGCCGGGTTCGGATTCAAGATTTCCGCCGCGCCCTTCCAGATGTGGTGCCCGACGTTTACGAAGGAGCTCACGCCGGTGGTGGCCTTCCTGTCGGTGGCCAGCAAGGCGGCGGGATTCGCCGTGCTGTTCAGGGTGCTGTTCACCGGTTTCTTTGATGTGTCACTGGACTGGGCGGTGCTGATAGCGGTCCTTGCCGCCGCATCCATGAGCATCGGCAATGCCGTGGCCATTGGCCAGAGCAACATCCGCCGCCTGTTTGGATACAGCACCATCGCCCATGCCGGCTACCTGCTGGTAGGAGTTGCCGCCGGGGTGAATACGGCCGGTGGCCTCCCAGACGCGCCGGTCTTTGCCTCCATTGGCCTCAACAGCGTGCTGTTCTACCTTGTCGCATACACGGCCACCAACCTCACTGCGTTTTTTGCCATAGCCGCCATCGGCGAGAGAGTGGGCAGCGACCGGATCAGCGACTACGCGGGCCTGTTCGCTCGCTCCCCGGTGCTGGCGATGACGCTGGCCCTGGCACTAATCGCGCTCATCGTGGGCCGCCACTGGAAGTTTCATCGGCCGGGTGCCAAACTGTATGTGTTCACCGCCGCCGTTGACAGCGGACTGGCCTGGCTGGCGATTGTAGGTGTGGTCAACAGCGCGGTGTCGGCTTACTACTACATACGGATCATCCGCATCATGTTTCTGCAGCAGGCTTCGGTGTCACCCGGAGCGCCCCCGTCTCGCAGTCCCGCGCCCTGGGCTGCACTGGCGGTTGCGGCAGCTGTGCTGGTATTCCTGGGGGTGGCTCCCGGCTTCGTGCTCGAGGCGGCGGGTGCCGCTGTCAGCGCACTGGGGGTATAACTTGCTGAGGAGCTGCCTCCATCGGAGATCTGCAGCTTCGTGATGTTATCATAAGGACTCAAAAGAAGAGTCCACGATAGCATTACTGGAAGCCGTCGCTAATTGACCAAATCTTGAACTGTTGGTCGGAGGAAAACCGGCATGGACCCCAATACAACTGCAGCAGTTCGAGATATATTTGTTATGGTGGCTGCCGGTGTGTTTTCCATACTGGGCCTGGTATAATTTATCTATTTATAACAAACTGTATCTGTAACCGTCCTTCAGCGAAGCTGTCGTCAACACCGCCAAGGCAACCGAGAATCTGAACCGGGTCGCGGGGGATCTTTCCGCCGTTTCAAAGGAAACTGCCGAGAATGCGGCCCAGACGGCGCAAAACGCGGTCGTAATCACAGAAAACGTGAAGGCAGGAACATCCGAGCTTCCAAGCGTCATACTATAGTGTTGGGCAGGCCGCGCGTGGTGTTGCAAGTGCATCCAACTCCGCCGCCAGGATCGGGCGTCTTGTCGGCCGGTTAGCGCCGGAATCACCGGAGGCTCAATCTCCCAGTGCCAGTGCCAGTGCCAGTTCCGGTTCCGGTGCTCTTTCCCGTATTCTCAGGGGGTTGTTGGGTGACCGGCAGCGAAGCCGTGCATCTGGTGAGGAGTCGAACTCCTGAATTTTCCTGTTTTGCCATTTGGTCATAAGCCCATAATCTGCCTCCTGGTCTGAAGGGGCGAATGAAGAACGTCGGCATCATTTACAACAACCGCATTCCCGAGGCGCTGGACCTGAGCATGGCCATTCTCCACGAGCTGGACCTGCCAGAGGGCAGCTGGTACTCGCCCGCCGAGAATCTCGAGTCCCTGGCACCCCGCGCCGAGAGCACTGACCTCGTGGTAACGGTGGGCGGTGACGGCACCATCCTTCGGGCGGTCCGGTTCACTGCCCCGGCCGGCATTCCCATCGTGGGCATCAACATGGGGCGCTTGGGTTTCATGACAGAGCTGACCGTGGACGAGGCCATGCCGAAGCTGCCCGGTTATCTGTGTGGCAATCACCGCATCGACGCTCGAAATATGCTGCAGGCAACTGTTACCCAGGGTGGCTCTACCATCAGCCAGGGTCCATACCACGCGCTCAACGACTTCGTGGTGGCCCGGGGTGCTGCCTCCCGCGTTGTCTCCATTGCCGGGGTCATCGATGGAGCCCAGGTATCAACCTTCCGCGCCGACGGGCTGATTCTCTCCACTGCCAACCGTCAAGCACGGGATCCAACTGGCGTCGCGGCCGATACTGGACCCGGAATCCGATGCGGCTGTGTTAAAAAAAAAGACCGTGGCGGCCCACATGGGCCTGACGGGCTTGCGCTGTTTTTCTTGTTCCTGCGTCCGAAGTGGAGGTTTCTCTTCAGCTCGAGAGGTACCAGGCCGCCGTGCTCAGCGTAGATGGCTACGAGGACTATGACCTCCAGCCGGGAGACAGGGTCGATCTTTCCCAAAGCCCTTACAAGGCCTCTTTCTGAAGGGCCCAATATCCGCCATCCTATTTTTTCGGCACACTTACCAGACGTCTGGGGTTCAGCATCCGTGGACAGTAGGAGATACCCATCTTGGCTGACACCGATACCGATACAACTCGCGCCAATTCAGTTCGAGAACACAATTGAGACAGCCCGTCCCTACGACGGGAGGATTTTCAGTGTCCGGGTGGACACGGTGGAGTTGCCCAGTGGTCGACGCACCATCCGCGAGGTGGCGGAGCACTCCGACGCGGTCTGCATGATTCCTGTGGACTACGACGGTAAAAAAAAAAAGAAAAAAAAAAAAACCGTGTTCTGGTGCGGCAGTACCGCAAGCCTACCGAGTCTTCCCTGCTGGAGGCCCCGGCGGGCGGCGTGGAAGCCGGCGAAGTCTCCGAAGAAACAGTATTGCGGGAGTTGCAGGAGGAGGTGGGCCATACAGCCGCCAACCTGCGCCACCTGGCCAGCTTCTGGGTTGCGCCGGGTTGGTCCACCGAACGGATGCACGCCTACCTGGCAACAGGCCTGACGCCGTCGAAGCTGGCGGCGGACGACGACGAGAACATCCAGGTCGTGCGCATCCCCTTCGCCGACGCGGTGGCGATGATACACACCGGGGAAATAAACGACGGAAAGACCATTGCCTCCCTGTTGCTGGCTCAGCCAATACTGGAACAGGGTTAGGCGGAGGGTTGTTTGGCACCATTGTGCCCCGAAGAAAAGAGCACACAACACCTGACAAAATGTCTATTTTAGACAGCCTAGTTACCCAAGGTATCCAAGAATAACCTAGTGAGGTGTCAGGTGTGGTTAGTGCACATCATGACTCCCATGAGTGCGACGATCACGAACATCACGCTGGCGAGCATATCTATAACATCCACGAGTGCGACGATCACGAGCACCACGGCGACGAGCCGGGTCACGTCCACGACCCGCACGAGTGCGAAGGCCATGAGCACCACGCCGGCGAGCACATCCACGACCCCCACGAATGCGACGACTACGAGCACCACGCTGACGACCACGCCAACGCCAACGCCTAGTCGCGGCATCACGCAGCATTTACAAATGAGACCCGTCATCCAGGACGGGTCTTTTTGTTTGTGCAGGCAGGAGCCGGGTAATGAGGCCGCCTTGAAATTCCTTTCAAGAGATGGAATGCGGGGTCTCGACACCGGAGTGGATGCGGCGGCGGCCGATACCTTGAATCCGGGACTGGAAACCGGGGCTAGAAACCCGGCTATCTCCAGCCACAGGACGATGCTCTTTTGTGGTATAGTATTCGGCGGCTTATCGAGGTCTCACTGGAGGAAATAGGTCAACATGCTGGAGCATGATGTCCTGGTAATTGGCGCTGGGCTTGCCGGAATGCGGGCAGCCATTGCGGCCCGGGCCAGTGGCGCCAACACCGCGATTGTCAGTAAGGTTCATCCTGTCCGAAGCCACTCTAACGCGGCTCAGGGCGGCATCAACGCGGCCCTGACCGACCGGGGCGATGACTGGGAAGACCACGCCTACGACACGGTCAAGGGGAGCGATTTCCTCGGCGATCAGGATGCCATCGAAGTGATGTGCAAGTCCGCAGGCCGCGCCCTGATTGACATGGAGCACTTCGGCGTCACCTTCAACCGGGACGACGAGGGCTATCTAGGCACCCGCGCCTTCGGCGGCCAGAGACGGGCACGCACCTTCTTTGTCGGCGACTTCACCGGACAGGCACTGCTGCACGTGATGTTCGAGCAGCTCATCAAGTCCGGCGTCCGTCGCTACGAGGAATGGTTCGTGACCTCCCTGATCATTGAGGACGGTCAGGTCTGCGGCGTTATGGCGCTGGAGATCCGCACCGGTCAGGTATACGCCATTCGCGCCAAGACCGTCATCTTTGCGACCGGCGGCCTCGGGCGGATTTTCGAGCCCAGCACCAATGCCCTCATCGTCACCGGCGACGGAATGGCCTTGGCCTACAACGCCGGAGCCCAGCTCATGGACATGGAGATGGTGCAATACCATCCCACCACCCTGGCAGGCAGCGGCGTGCTGATTTCGGAGGCGGCCCGCGGGGAGGGCGCCTACCTTCTGGACAAAGACGGAAATCGCTTCATGGAGAAGTACGCTCCAAACATGATGGAGCTCGCCTCCCGCGACGTCGTTTCCCGTTCAGAGCAGACGGAAATCAACGCAGGCAACGGAATCAACCGCTGTGTGTTGCTGGACTGCCGGCATCTGGGCGAGGCGCTGATCATGGAGAAGCTCAGCCAGATCCGGGAGATAGGGATTGATCTGGCCGGCGCCGACATGATACGCGAGCCGATTCCCATCCGCCCCGGTATGCACTACATGATGGGAGGCATCAAGACCGATGTGGACGGACTGACAAACGTCCCAGGTGTATATGCTGCCGGGGAATGCGCCTGTGTCAGCGTCCATGGCGGAAACCGGCTGGGGGCCAACTCACTGCTGGATACCATTGTGTTCGGCGAGCGATCCGGCAACCATGCTGCCGAGGCAGCCCGCAGCGTCGACTACGTGGAGTTCAATGTGGAGCAGGCGGTCAGGAACGAGGAGAAACGCATCCAGGATCTGCTGGACCGCCCCGGCTACGGCGACCGAATCGCCAGCATTCGCCTGGGAATGGGCGAGTCTATGAATCGTAATCTCGCCGTCTACCGCAACCAGGAGGGCATGGAGGAGACGCTGAGCGACCTGGAGCTGCTGCAGGAGCGTTTCAAGTCCGTGCCTGTGGAAAACAAGGGCAAGGTATTCAACACTGATCTGATTTTTGCCTTGGAGTTGGGCTTCATGCTCGACTGCGCCCCGCCGATCGTGGTCAGCGCTATTGACCGCAAGGACAGCCGTGGCGCCCAGGCCCGCATCGACTATCCCAACCGGGACGATGAGAACTGGATGAAGCACCTCGTGGTTGGGAAGGGCGAGACTGGCCCCGAAATTACCTACGCCCCTGTCAGCATCACCAAGTGGCAGCCCGAAGAGCGGAAATACTAGCCGGCAAGCCCTCCTCTCGTCCGGCTCTTACGAGGGAGAGGAGACTCATCCAAAGTAACCCTGAGTTGAAGGATAGCAGTCGATGAATGTCACCATCAGGGTGCAGCGCCAGGATCCGGAGGCGGAGAACACTGCTCCTTTCTGGCAAGACTACTCGCTGGAAATCGAAGACAACGCCACCGTCCTTGACGCGCTTATCTAGATTCGCGAGGACCTGGACGGCACGCTGAGCCTGCGTTGCTCGTGCCGCAGTTCCATCTGCGGGTCGTGCGCCATGCGCATCAACGGGCACGCGGGGCTCGCCTGCAAGACCCAGGCTGTTGCTGTTCTCCAGGAAGGGGACGTCATCGAAGTTGAGCCGGCTGGCAACATGCCGGTGATCAAGGATCTGGTGGTCAACTTCGACCTCTTCTGGGACAAAATCATGGAGATAGATCCCTATCTTCAGCCGCAGGGACCGGAACCGGAGCAGGAGTACGTCGTCTCCAACGAGTCGATGCTGCACCTGTCCAGCGTTACCGCCTGCATCATGTGCGGGGCCTGCGTGTCTGACTGCACGGTGCTTGAGATCGATCCGTCCTTCCTGGGCCCGGCTGCACTGGCCAAGGCCTACCGGTTCACCGCCGACCCCCGCGACGGCGACGATGAGGGCGTATCCAAGGAACGGCTGGAGCAGTTGAACGCGCCCTCGGGCATATGGGATTGCACCCGGTGTCTCGAATGCGTACAGGCCTGCCCCAAGGGCGTGGCCCCCATGGAGCGCATTATGGCCATGCGCGACCAGGCCATTGCGGCGGGTTTCCACAACACCAACGGCGCCCGGCACACCGAGGCTTCTCCGAGTCGGTCGAGCAGTCTGGCACTCTTGATGAACTCAAGCTCGTGCCCAAATCGCTGGGAATGACCAACATCCAGGGCCTGCTCAATTATGCACCCGTTGCTTTGCAGGCGCTCACCCACGGCAAGATGCCGCCACTCATGCATAAAAAGATAGAAGGCATCGAACACGTTCGCCGCATATTCGAACAGGTGGACGAGACCGAACGTTAGGGTCGCCCTTTACAGACAAAGGGTAACGAGACCAATCCCAGAGTAGACGGAGACTCGAATTGAGGTACGCTTTCTTTCCCGGGTGTGTTTCGCGCGGAGGCTGCCCTGAGCTTTACCCCGCAGCCGTGCTGATCTGCAAGCGGCTGGGCATCGATATTTGGGAGCTGCAGGGCGCATCCTGCACTGGTGCTGGTGTTCTGCAGGAGAAGAACCAGCTCCTTGGCGACACCCTGAACGCCCGGACTTTCGCCATGGCCGAGTACTGGGACCTGCCGATCATGACCATCTGCAGCACCTGCCAGGGCGTGATGAGCCAGGCCAATTTCCGGCTGCGTGATCCTGAGTACCGAGCCAAGGTGAACAGCTACCTCGCTGAAGAGGGGCTGGAATACAAAGGGAACGCAGACCCGAAGCACCTGCTCTGGATTCTCATTGAGGACTATGGCCTCGACAAGCTCGAGGAGCTGATCACCCGGCCGCTGCATGGAGTGCGGCTGGCGCCGTTCTACGGCTGCTATCTGGTGCGCCCCACCGACGCCCTGGAGTTCGCCGACAATCCTGAACGTCAGGGTTCTCTGGAGCGACTGATTGAAGTGCTGGGCGCAACGGTGGTGGACTTCTCAGGCAAGACCCGCTGCTGTGGCTTTCCGATCCTGACCATCAACGAGCGAAACTCCCTGGCGATGGTTGGAAAGCACACCAGCGAGGCCAAGGACCTGGGCGCCGACGCAATGATCACGCCCTGCCCTGCGTGTGCCACCTGAACCTGGAGGAAAGAGACAGCTTCCAGCCGAGGCTGCCGCGGCAGTGCGCCGGACAATCGGGCTGGCCCATCCTGCACCATGGCGCCAATGAACAAAAGGGATGTTCGCCTCCGCAGCAAAGCCATCAACTAGACTCAGAAAAACGCGTCCCATGGGCATACAGTCCTACAACGCAATGAACTGGGCCTGCGACGCCACATAGTGAACACCCGGCCGCTGATAACCCAGCTCTCTGGCGGAGCAGCGCACGCCGCTCACTGAGGAGCGAAATTCTCCCACCACGGCAAGGCAACTTTCTTGATCGGCCGCTGCAACACAGCGGCCCTTTCGCTGAAACTCACTGTCGCGTGATTACACGCCAATCTATCTGACCGAGGCCCCAGAATGACGAATCGAGAGTCGCTTTTGACCTTCCCCGAGGACTGGCAGACCGCACTGGCGATCGTCGCGCACCTCGACGACATGGAGTACGGGGCTGCCAGCGCCGTCGCCAAGTGGACAGCTCAGGGCAAGAAGGTCACCTACGTGATGGTCTCCCGAGGTGAGGCAGGCATCAACGATATGCACCCCTCGCACGTGGGCCCGCTGCGCTCCCAGGAGGAGGTCGACGCTGCCCAGGTGGTGGGCGTGGATACAGTGGACTTCCTGGAGCACCCTGACGGTGTCATCGAGTACGGTCCCTCTCTGCGCCGGGACATCAGTCGCGTTATTCGCAGGCACCGCCCCGACGTGATCATCTCCCTGAGCCACCACCTGCAGTTTCCATCCGGCCACCTGAACCAGGCCGACCATCGCAATGTTGGTATCGCGGTGTTTGATGCAGCGCGGGACGCGGCCAACCGCTGGATATTCCAGGAATTGCTTGACGAGGGCCTGGAGCCGTGGAACGGGGTTCGGTTCGTGGCTGTCTTCGGACCAAGCATGCCCACGCACGGCATCGACGTAACCGGATACTGGGAGCAGGGAATGGAGTCCCTTCGGCAACACAAGGCATACTTTGAATCCTGGGACCGAGTCGCCGTCCCGGACCTTCGAATTTCTCACTGCCCACGCCGTCGAGGCAGGTCAGGCCCTGGGCTGCGAGCACGCAGTGTTCGCCGAGCTGGTGCTCATCAACGACGCGTTCGACTAGGGCAGCGGTCCCTGCGCGGCGGCTGAACCCGGTCCCCCCACCATCGCCGTCTCAGGATATCAGTGGTCTGTCGTATGAGACGGCGTCGAGTAGCCGATCCGCATTTGCGGTGCGTGTGGCAGATAGGTACCCTGGACAGGCCGCAACTGGCCCGTATCCCGTTCCAATTTCTTTCCTGCTTTTTTTTCGAGGCCAGCGTTTTTTCCCTGGAAGACGACTTTCAGCCAGCATGCTGGCCACCCTCTACGCTCACCCGTTACCTCATCATCTTTCATTGAGCCCGATATACGAACGCGACAACCAGATGATCGTACGGTGTAGAATCACGCCGCAGGGGGACCCCGGGGAAACCCGGTTTAGACTTGCAAATACACTTTGCCCAAGTCGAGTGCCGGAACCTGCGCACTTGAGAGGCGTGCCCATCCCATAGCAACGAACCCGTTCCACTCTAGGAAGGTGGCGAAGGTGGAATTTCACATCTATTCCTCCACCCAAAAACAACGCCTGCCACTATTGGCAGGCGCTCCATTTCATCGGCGTTGATCAGCTGCCTATAGTCGTGCGTACGTTCTAACCCTATACCCCCGCAGCGTTGGCACCACCTGCCTGTAGGCCGCGATCGTGCGCTCCACGTCCTCTTCGTGTGACTGCGACGGGTAGTACTTCTGGCCACCCTTCAGCACTCCATGCTCCAGAAGGCCGGCGTTGAGGCCGGCCATCATCGCGCCGTCTCCTGAGAGCAGGTCCCGGTAGTTGTTGACCGGCTGTCCGGTGAAACAGAAGTCGAAGACGGCGTCCTCGCGCAGCTCTGCACAGGAATTCCGTTCTCGGCGCAGAGCTCGGTCATGGCGTTTCGCAGCTCGGCGCCCGCGCCGTGAACCCGGCGGTAGGCGTCGGGATCTTCGCGCAGCACCTCCAGCGTCGCCAGTCCGGCCGCGCAGGCCACAGGGTTGCCGTTCAGGGTACCAACCTGGCTGACGAAAGTGTCGCTGTCCACCTCTCCGCGATCGAAGACCGACATGATCTCGTCCTGGCCCAGCACCGCGGCCAGCGGGTATCCGCCGCCCATAATCTTGCCCACCGAGCACAGGTCAGGCGTGACGCCGTAGAATTCCTGCGCTCCGCCGTAGGCCAGCGGAAGCTGGTAACGACCTCGTCGAAGATCAGCGGGATGTTGTAACGGTTGGCCAGGTCTCGCAGCCCCTGCAGGAACCCAGGACGGGGCGCGAGGATGCGCTGCATCGGCTCCACGATGATCGCTGCGATCTCGTCGTGGTGGGCCTGTATGATCGCCTCAGTCGTGGCCAGGTCATTGAAGGGTGCGATCAGCATCAGGTCGGCGATGGCCTTGGGATGCCACCGCTGTTGGCCTCGGACTGCGGGAACTCCAGCGATGCGCTGGGAGTTACGCTCATCAGGGCGTAGTCGCTGCTGCCGTGGTAGCCACCCTCGAACTTGAGCACCTTTTTCCTTGCCCGTGTAGGCGCGGGCAATCCGCATGGCCTGGAAGCAGGCGTCGGTGCCGCTGGTGGTGAAGCGCACCTTCTCGGCGCAGGGTACCGCCTCGACCAGCTGCTCGGCCAGCAACACCGCCTTGTCGTTGTTGGCGAAGAACGTGCTGCCCTGCTCCACGGTCTTGATGACCGCCTCGACGACGTGGGGGTGTGCGTGGCCCAGCAGCATTGGCCCGCTGCCCATCAGCCAGTCCACGTATTCGTTGCCGCTGACGTCCCAGCAATGCGAGCCCTTGCCGCCAGCGACAAGGAAGTCCTGCTCGGGGTTGAGGTGGAGGTTGCCGGTGTTTCCGCCGGGCATATAGCGACCCGCCTTTTCCAGCAGGCGCTGTTCTTCAGGACTACGATTGGGCATGGCGGGCCTCCACAATCTCAAACTGTCCAGATTTTAGACAAGACATGCGGCCTGATAACGGCCTGCCGACAATTATACTCCTGACATAATCAAAAAATCGGTCCAGTTGCTGAAACAAACTGGACCGGTTTCAAGCGGACGAGTCCGCGGGGATCCCCTAGGCTTGCGGCGGCAAAGACCTACGCCCCAGCCCTCGCCTGGTTCATGACCTCCACCAGTTCCTGAACACTGGCAGCGGATCCCTGGAGGGCCGCCTGCTCCTCAGCAGTGAGGCGGATCTCGATGACCTGCTCCATGCCGCCCGCACCCAGCTTGACGGGCACGCCGACGCACAGGCCGTTGATGCCGTATTCGCCCTGCAGGTACGCACATGCCGGCAGGATGCGCTTCTTGTCCAGCAGCACTGCCTCGACCATCTGGGTGATCGCCGCAGACGGAGCATAGTAGGCGCTGCCCTCCTTCAGTAGCTGCACGATCTCGCCGCCGCCCTGCCGGGTTCGCCGGACGAGCTGCTCCACCTTCTCCTCGGCCATCAGTTCGCTGATGGGGATGCCGCCGACGGTGGTGTAGCGGACCAGCGGCACCATGTCGTCGCCGTGGCCGCCCAGCACGTACGCCTGAACGTCCTCGACCGACACGTTCAGTTCCTGGGAGATGAAGGTACGGAAGCGGGCAGTATCCAGCACTCCGGCCATTCCGAAGACGCGCTCACGAGGAAAACCGCTGGACTCGTAGATGTTCTGCACCATGGCATCCAGGGGATTGGTGACCGGTATGATGATGCAGTTCGGCGAATGCCTCACCACCTGCTCGGTGACCGACGTTGTGATGCGCATGTTGGTCAGCAGCAGGTCGTCGCGGCTCATTCCGGGCCGGCGCGCGATCCCGGCGGTGATGACCACCACGTCGGAGTTCGCCGACTCTTCGTAGCCGTTGCTCCCGGTGATCAGGGCGTCCGTGCCGATGACCGGCCCCGACTCCAGCATATCCAGCGACTTGCCCTGCGGCAGGTCCTCAACCACGTCGACCATCACCACGTCGGCGTAGCCAAGTTGGTGTATCCGCTGTGCGGTGGTAGCGCCGACGTTGCCCGCGCCGACTACGGTTACCTTGTTTCGCATTGGCTGGTTCTTCCTCCAATTTGGGGCAGCTAGCATTTATGCTGCCGGAGATTAATAGAGGGGAATCCCTGCGACTCCCCTCTGCATGAACTCTTGCCCGACTTCTATTTGCCTGTGCAGCAAACCGACCGGCTGAGTCGTGGTATTCAGCCAGCCGCCTGGTTGCTAGATTGCATCCACGATGGCGTTCAGAGTCGCGCTCGGGCGCATGGCCTTGGCGGCCATCTCGTCTCTGGGAATGTAGTAGCCGCCGATGTCAACCGGCTGTCCCTGGGGCGTCGATCAGTTCCTGGAGGATTTTTTCTTCGTTGGCGGTCAACTTCTGGGCAACTTCCTTGAAGCGGGCTTGCAGCTCGGGGTCCTGGGTCTGTTCGGCCAGCGCATTCGCCCAGTACAGGGCAAGGTAGAAATGACTGCCGCGAGTATCGAGCTCGTTCACCCGCCTTGACGGCGCCCGGCCCTGTTCCATGTGCTCCCCGATCGCTTGGTCTAGGGTATCAGCCAGTAGTTGGGCTCTCTCGTTCTCGAATGCCCGGGCGCAGTGCTCGAAGGACGCCACGAGGGCGCAGAATTCACCTAGCGAATCCCAGCGCAGGTGCCCTTCTTCCAGGAACTGCTGAACGTGCCGGGGCGCGGACCCGCCGGCGCCTGTTTCAAACATCCCGCCGCCCTTCAGCAGGGGGACGACCGAAAGCATCTTGGCGCTGGTGCCCAGCTCCAGGATGGGGAAGAGGTCCGTCAGATAGTCCCGCAACACGTTGCCAGTAACGGAAATCGTGTCCTGGCCGGCCCGGCTCCGCTCCATCGTGTATTTAATCGCCTCAATGGGAGCCATGACGCGGATTTCCAGCCCGCTCGTGTCTTGCTCGGGCAGGTACTGGTCTATCTTTTTTATCAGCTCAGCGTCGTGGGCCCGGTTCTTGTCCAGCCAGAATATGGCCGGTGTGCCGGTTATCCTCGCCCGGTTGACCCCGAGCTTTACCCAGTCCTGGATCGCCTCGTCCTTGGTCTGGCACATCCGGAAGAGATCGCCTTCCTCGACGCTCTGCTCCATCAGTGTCGTTCCGGACGCGTCCACCACGCGAATCGTTCCGCTGCCGGGAGCGGTGAAAGTCTTGTCGTGAGAGCCGTATTCCTCGGCTGCCTGGGCCATCAGGCCGACGTTGGCCACGCTGCCGATGGTCGACGGGTCAAATGCCCCATGCTCCTGACAGTCCTCTATGGCCGCCTGATACAGCGTCGAGTAGGAGCGGTCGGAATCATCGCGACGGTGTCGTGCAGCTCGTTGTCGGGACCCCAGGCACGGCCGCCGTCCCGGATGATCACCGGCATGCTGGCGTCGATGATGGTATCGCTGGGTATATGCAGGTTGGTGATTCCCCGGTTGGAGTTCACCATGTACAGTTCCGGCCGCTTGCTGTACACCGCGTCGATATCGGCCTCAATTTCCGCTCGCTTGGCTTCCGGCAGGTCCCGTATCTTGGTGAGGAGCTCGGCCACGCCGTTATCCGGATCAACGCCGACCTCAGCCAGTGCACCCCCGTGCTTGGCGAATACGTCCTCGTAGAACACCGACACGAGATGGCCGAAGATTATCGGATCGGAGATACGCATCATGGTTGTCTTCACGTGGAGCGAGAGGAGCACGTTTTCCGCCTTGGCTCTCGCAATTTCCTCCGCATAGAAACTGCGCAGTTCACGTGCATTCATCACCGCGCAGTCTATGATTTCATCGGCCAGCAACGGGATCCCGGTCTTGAGCGGGGTCACGCCCCCGTCGGCGGCCACGAACTCGATCGCAGCCGACCCCGGCTGTGTTACGGTCAACCCCTTCTCGCTGCCGTAGAAATCGCCGCTTTTCATGAAGGCGACGCGAGTCTTGGACTCATCCGGCCAGTTCTGCATCATTCGGTGGGGATTGCTCTTCCCATGCTCTTTTTACCGAGTTCGCCGACCGGCGGTCTGAGTTTCCCTGCCGCAGTACCGGGTTCACTGCGCTGCCAACCACCCTGTTGAACCTGGCCCTGATCTCCCGTTCCTCGTCGGTGGAGGGAGTGTCGGGAAAGTCGGGTATGTTGTATCCCTTGCTCTGAAGCTCGGCGATCGCACCCTTCAGCTGCGGAATGGAGGCGCTGATATTGGGCAGCTTGATGATGTTGGCACCCGGGTCCTCGGTTAGCTCGCCCAGCATGGTCAGATAGTCGGGAATCCTTTGCTCTTCCGTCAGCCTGTCGGGGAAATTGGCTACTATGCGGCCAGTAAGCGAAATATCCCAGGTGTCCAGTTCAATGCCAGACCCCTTTGTATAGGCCTGCAAAATCGGCAACAACGAGTGCGTGGCCAGGGCCGGTGCTTCATCAATTTTCGTATAGATGATCTGGGCCGCTTCAGGCATTTTCATCTCCTCGGCAATTTAGTTTCATAGGCCGCTGCCAGTCTCCAGATTATGGTCCGGCACGGGCTTAAATATATGCGCCAGCTGCAACACGCGGGTATTTGGTTCCGATCGCACAGGGGAACGAGACCAATCTGGATTCACTAATCGAAGGCGCAACCCAAATACCCACTCTCAGCGGGGCGCGAAATCGATAAAATTATACATCCCGACAGCCTTGCGGGGTAGCCCTGCGTTGGTTGTGGCAGCGTTCTGATGCAGGTCGTTTGCAGGCTGGTGACCTGTTGTCTCCGTAAAACCTGCTCAGGGGATAGTCGCACGCGTCCATCAGCCACTCCGGCGACGCATCCCCCGACAGAGCCGCGGCCAATGCCGCTCCATCATCCGGCGCAGGCCGGGGCTGTTTTTGCTGACAGAAGGCACTTGCCAAGCCTCATGACACCCCTCTACCATCGAACACAGCGGACCCGCAGATCCAACGCTGTTACAGGCGTACAGGGTGCATCAATGACTTACTACCGCGACCTTAACTTCGGCGACAGCAACACCGGAGCAGAGCTTGCCCCCATCTGATCAGGGACGGGTGTCAGGGCCGAATCCGCGGAATGTCAGGAAAAAGGCAGGAAATGTCAGTGATTCCATACCCCCTGACATAACCCTGCGTCTGATTGGGACCTCAAAAGGCATCCCGGTGCAGAGCCCGCCTCGACCTGAGCGGGACCGGGACCCAAAGTACCGGAAACTACCGGAGAATGGATAATTTCCCGTACCCAACCTTCATCCTCAAGGGCATGTCCCTGTGAAACCGGGACGCCAAGGATGGGGTCAAAACAACCAGCAAAAGAATTCCGCGTCGGGACCCAGGGCAATCGCGTCTTAAACGCCGGAGGCCCCATAAGTCGTCCTTCCCGCCTGTTCCGTCATTCCCGCGCAGGCGGGAATCCAAACCCCCGTCTACCCTCGCACCCGGAACCGAAGGGGAGGCACTGCCACTCCCATCTCCACCGCCATACAGGCCAATTTTGTGTGCTGAGTAATAAGGCGCGATTGCCATGCGCCGGGACCCGGTCTGATTGAACCCTTAACCTGCAGGTTATAGACTGTTGCCGGATTCAGGGTGAAGGGTGTGGGCAAGACCGTACGATGACCGAGATAGCGGTCCCGATTTCTTCGCGGCTTGAGTTGTGTAAGAGGCTGTTGGCCCATTCTGCCGCCAGTAAACCCAGGATGAGTGAGTGGCAGTTCAGGGCACCCGTGGTGGCTCTGAGAGCGCTGCTGATTGGTGGTTTGCTCCTGCCTGTGATGGCGGTATTTTCCCGCCGCCGGACCTCTGGACTGGAGCACCTGGAAACTCTCGAAGGGCCGGCAATATTTGCTGCCAACCACCTCAGCGTTGCCGACAACCCGGCCGTCCTGCTGGCCCTGCCCTGGCGATGGCGGCTCCGGCTGGCGACCGCGGCGTCCCGGGAGGTGCTGCGGGGGCGGGGCAGGATACAGAGCTTCTTTGCTGCGCTGATCAGCAACGGGTTTCAGTTCTCGCAGACAGGAACTGTGCGCAGCAGCCTGGCGTACTGTGGCAAGTTGACCGCGACGGGGTGGTCCATCCTTTACTTCCCGGAGGGAGTTCGCTCCGACGACGGATCGATTGGCCCCTTCAGGCCCGGCATCGGACTCTTGGCCGCAGGACTGGGCATTCCCGTAGTGCCGGTATACCTGAAAGGGACCGACTCAGTGGTGGCCAAGGGAGGCAGCCGCCCGCAAAGGGGCGATATCGAGGTGAGGTTTGGCGAGCCCTTGCGCTTCCGCAGGGGTGCGGACCACAGGGAAGCAACCCGGCAGATTCGGGACGCCGTAGCCGCACTTTCTCTGGAAAGTGTATGCTGAGTTTTGTCCTGAGCGGTTTCGCTGGGCGGAGGTTCTGACGCGTGGCTGAAAGTGGCCTGGATACACACATTCGACTGCCGCTGCTCAACAAGATGCTGCTGGCCTCCGACCACGTTGGCCTGCAGGCCATTCAGTACTTCCGGCAGAGCTGGATGCTCTTTTTTTCTCGTCCCGCCAATGGGTGAGGGCATTGCCAGGGTGCCCGATGTCATGGTCTTCGGCTTGAACGTGGACGCCCGGGTCTTCGCTGGGTTCCTCATTTTTTCGGGGAGATTTTATCGACGCCTTCACCGACCCTCTGATCGGGTGGTGGAGCGACCGAACAAGAAGCCGCTGGGGCAGGCGTATCCCTTTTATCCTGTTCAGCACCCCTTTTTACGCCCTTTTCGCCGCAATGATTTGGATCCTGCCTTCCGAGGACGCCAGCCTCTGGAACGTCATTTACTTCGTGATAGTGCTGGAACTGTTCTTCACCGCCGCAACCATGTCCAGCGGCGCCCTTGAGGCGCTGGTGCCGGAAGTAACCCACGGTGCGGCCGACCGGATGAACCTGGTTGGCTTGATCTTCGTGTTCGCAGTGTTCGGCGCTGGACTGGGGTTGGGAGGTAGTGGAGCGCTGGTGGACGCCTACGGTTACCAGGTTGTCGGTATCCTTCTGGCGATTGTTGGGCTGGTGTTTCGGTACCTGTCGCTGTCCGCAATCTGGAAATATGCCCCCCGGGACACGACGCCTGCCAGGGTAGATTTCTTCCGTGGCATGAAGGACACGCTGCGGAACCCACAGTTCGTCTACTACCTGCCGACCTTTGTCATGTTCACCACCGGCGTCGGTATCCTTCTCGGATGGATGCCCTTCTTCGCATCCGAATTGTTGCAGGCCGAGGGAGAGGGAACCGTCGCGAGCCTGATCTCCACCGTGGTGATACTGGGGGCCGTAGTCAGCGGCTTGGTGTTCTGGGTGTTGTCAGCCGTATGCGTTTCAGCAAGCGCCGTGTCTACGGCGGATGTATCATTGCCAGCGGGGTCGCTTTCCCGCTCCTGGGCGTGGTGGGTCTGGTACCGTTCGGCGGCCTGGTGACGCAGGGCATGGTCCTGTCCTTTGTAGCCGGACTTCCAATGGCCGCCGTGTTCATGCTTCCCAAGGGATTGACCGCCGATATCGCCGACTACGACGCCATGATCACAGGGGAACGGCGGGAAGCGATGTTCTATGCGACCCAGAACTTCTTTGAGAAGATCACCTTTGCCCTGCCTCCGGCGTTCCTCAGCCTGATACTTCTGCTGGGCGAAACCACCGAGGACCCGCTGGGCATACGACTGGCACCGGTGGTGGCCGGCGTGCTGGCCCTGCTCGGTATCACGCTCTGGCACCGCTACCGGCTGCCCGATACGGTAAACCGGGACACCGTTGTAGCCGCAGGGTTGCTACCAGCACGTTCCGCGGCCGGTGCTGCGGACTAAAAAGAAAGGGGCACGGCTTCGCGCGCCCCTGCTAAAAATTGCTACGACCGATATCGGTTACCGAGCACCGAGCTGCTCGGCCAGCGCCTCGGGTTCAGTAACCGGCAGTTGGCAGGCGTAGTTCTCGCAGACGTAGGCCGTGGGCTTCCCGTCCACCATTCCCCGGCCTTCAAGCAGGGGAAGGCCCGATGCCGTCGCCGCATCTTCGCTGTCCGCGCCCACGATTACCCGGTTGGCCAGGTAGCGGCCATTGACCGTCCTGAGCAGTTCCGCCGTCGCCGCATCCGATGACGGCCCGATGACGGCGACCTCGGTGGGCGTTGACAGGTAGAAATCCAACGCCGCCAGCCAGCGGCCAGTGCCGGCCGGTGCGCGACCCATCAGCTCCGCCAGGGTGCGCAGAGGTGCTACGGCCTTTGCGGCGTAGTCCTCGTTGCCGGTGAACACCGAGAGCCGAAGCAGCAGGTCAGAGGCAACTGAGCCGCCGCACGGCTGCGCGTTATCGAACACGTCTCGAGGGCGTATCACCAACTCCTCGTGGTCGCTCCCCGTGTCGTAAAAGGCGCCGGCGGACTCGTCCCAGAACAGGGCAATCATTTCATCGGCCAATTCGACCGCGGAGTCCAGCCACCGGCGCTCGAACGTTGCCTCGTAAAGCGCCAGCAGGCCGTCGGCCACGAATGAATAGTCCTCCAGGAAGCCGGGCAGCTTGGCCTGCCCCTCTCGGTAAGAGCGCAGCAACTTCCCCGCGGGACGGAGCGAAGTCAACAGGAATTCCGCGTTCCTGGCTGCCGCATCCAGATAGTCCTGCCGCTCGAGCGCTGCTCCCGCCTCGGCGAATGCACGCAGCATCAGGCCGTTCCACGATGCCAGGGCCTTGTCGTCGAGGAGAGGATGCTCCCGCTTCTCCCGCTCCAGCCAGAGCGCTTCCTTCCCGCGGTTGATCACACCAACCAACTGTTCCAAGGGAATGCCCTGGCGCTCTGCGAAGTCAGCGGCCTTTACCGTGATATTGAGTATGTTCTTGCCCTCGAAATTACCCCGCTGCGACAGACCGAAGAATGCGTTGAATATCGACCCGTCCTCGTTGCCCAGAACGACTTCAATCTCGCTTGGCGACCAGACGAAGAACTTGCCCTCTTCGCCCTCGCTGTCAGCATCGGTGGCCGAGAAGAACCCGCCGTGCTCGCCCGTCATCTCCCGCAGCACATAGTCCAGCGTCTCCTCGATGATTCTGCGGTACAGGGAGCGGCCAGTGGCCAGCCAGGCGTGCAGGTAGAGCCGCGCCAGCAGGGCGTTGTCGTAAAGCATCTTCTCGAAGTGCGGGACCAGCCAGAAGGTGTCGGTGGAGTAACGGTGGAAGCCGCCGCCCACCTGGTCGTAGATGCCGCCTCGAGCCATCTTCTCCAGCGTCAGCTCCAGCATCGGGAGGGCGCGGTCGTTGTGGCCGTTGGCGTAGTAGCGCAGCAGTATTTCCAGAGTCATTGACTGCGGGAACTTGGGGGCAGAACCCACGCCGCCATTCTGGTAGTCGAAGTTGGTTGCCAGTTGGTTGTAGGCGTGATGCAGAATGCTTTCGTCCAACGCACCCGTGCCCCTGGGCATGTTGCCGGTGCGCCCCATCTGCTCGGTCAGTTGTCCCGTCACCCGCTGAATCTCCGTGTGGCTGTTCTGGTAGGCTTGGGATACGGTTTCAAGCAAACGGGGGAATCCAGGCATGTTGTGGCGGTCAACGGGGGGAAAGTATGTGCCGCCGTAGAACGGCTTTCCGTCAGGCGTGAGGAACACTGTCATCGGCCAGCCACCGCTGCCCGTGAGCATCTGCACAGCTTCCATGTAGACTGCGTCCAGGTCGGGCCGCTCCTCGCGGTCGACCTTGATGTTGACGAAGTCGCGGTTCATTATCTCCGCGATGGCGTCATTCTCGAAGGACTCTCGCTCCATCACGTGGCACCAGTGACAGGCGGAGTAGCCGATGCTGAGCAGGATGGGCCTGTCCTCGTCGCGCGCCCGGGCCAGCGCCTCCTCTCCCCACGGATACCAGTCCACGGGGTTGTTGGCGTGCTGCAACAGGTAGGGGCTGGTCTCGTTGATCAACCGATTGGGCATGAGTCCTCTTCTTTGCCGGCAAGAGCCGGACTGCGGTGTATGTTTGCCTGGGATACCCGAACTTAAAGTAGCCCGAGCCGCTGTGCGTCCTCCTCGGTCCATTGGGTCGCGCGGAGGACGGAGGCAAGTGTTTTCCTGTCAAGGGTATCATTGCCGTGATGGAAATGGATGTTGGTTCGTCTTTTGTCGGGGTGAACAAAGACGTGGCCGCCGGTACGGGTAGTCCGTCGCAGTGCGAATCCATCCCGTTCAAGAGCGCGCATCAATTCCCTTGCCGGAGTGTTACGAAGCAGATGTAAAAGTCGGCCCGGGCTGTTCACAGGGTGACAGTAACCTTATCGGTCATAGACCCTGTTGACTCCGCAGAGTACTGACGCTGGAGGCTGGCCTCCTCTGGGAGCGAGTCCCCATCTTCCAGCATGATTTCCACAAACGCCTGGGCGACTTCTTGCAAGGCTTCCAAAGCTTCCTCTCTTGTGTAACCCCACGCGTTGCAGCCGGGCAAAAGAGGAACGTCGGCCCCCCATCGACCATCTACGTCCTGCTCAATCTCAACCTCGAAGACGTAGGTCTTCATCTTTCACCCTCGTTCCCCGGCCAGCATCTCCATGAACTCCGCCAGTGGCATCGCGCCGAGGTCGCCGCCTTCGCGGCTGCGGACGGCAACGGCGCCGGCCTCTGCCTCGCGGTCTCCAACCACCAGCATGTAGGGCACCTTCTGCATCTGGGCGGTGCGGATCTTCTGGTTCATCCGCTCATTGCGGCTGTCGACTTCCGACCGGAAGCCCCCGCCGGCCAGCGTTGACAGGACGCTGTCTGCGTACTCCGTGTGCCGGTCGGCGATGGGGATGACCACCGCCTGCACCGGCGCCAGCCAGACGGGGAACGCGCCGCCGTAGTGCTCGATCAGCACGCCCAGGAACCGCTCCATTGAGCCCAGGATCGCCCGGTGAACCATGTAGGGACGGCTCCGGCCTCCCTGGTCGTCTTGGTAGGTCAGGTCGAAGCGCTCCGGCAGGTTGAAGTCGAACTGGACCGTGGTGCATTGCCAGGCCCGCCCAGCGCATCGGTGATGTTGATGTCGATCTTGGGGCCGTAGAAAGCGCCGCCGCCATCGTCCACGGTGAAGGGAAGCTCGCGTGATTCCAGCGCCCTCTGCAATGAGTTGGTGGCGTGCTCCCACATTTCGAGGTCGCCGACGTACTTTTCCGGGCGGGTGGAGAGAGCGATGCTGTAGTCGGAGAAGCCGAAAGCCTCCAACAGTTCGAAGGTCAATTCCAAAACACCGCCGACTTCTTCCTCGACCTGCTCTGGGCGGCAGAAGATGTGCGCGTCGTCTTGGGTGAAGCCACGCACCCGCATAAGCCCGTGCAGCACTCCGCTGCGCTCATACCGGTAGACCGTGCCGAGTTCGGCGAACCGCAGGGGCAACTCGCGGTAGCTTCGGAGGGCCGAGCGGTATATGGTGATATGGAAGGGGCAGTTCATGGGCTTCAGGTAGTATTCCTGCTCGTCAACCTCCACCGGCGAAAACATCCCTTCTCGATAGAAGTCCAGATGCCCGCTGGTCTGCCACAGAGTTGAGCGGCCGATGTGGGGTGAGTAAACGATATCGTAGCCACGTCGGTAGTGGATGGCCTTCCAGTAGTCCTCGACCAGCGAGCGAACACGACCGCCCTTGGGATGCCAGACCACCAAGCCTGGGCCGATTTCATCCTGGATTGTGTAGAGGCCCAGCTGCCGCCCCAGCGCTCTGTGATCGCGTCGTTCTGCCTCCTCCAGCCTCGCTAGGTGCTCGTCCAGCTCGTCCTGTGACTCGAAGGCGGTACCGTAGATCCGCTGCAGCATCGGGCGCTTCTCGTCGCCTCGCCAGTAGGCGCCCGCCACGCTGAGCAGCTTCATCGCCGGGATCTCGGCGGTGCTGCCCACATGCGGTCCCTGGCACAAATCAACGAAGCCGTTGTGGCGGTATATGGAAATCACCGCCGATTCATCCAGTCCTTCGATCAGTTCCAATTTGTACGGTTGATCGGCGAATAGCTCCTGCGCCTTCTGGCGGGTCAATTCCTCCCGTTCGAAGGGGAAGGAACCAGCGATGGCACCCCGCATCAGCGACTCGATGCTTTCCATGTCCTCCGGTGTGAATGGACGGGAGACGTCGAAGTCGTAGTAGAACCCGTCCTGGGTGGGAGGCCCAATGCCCATTTTCGCCTCGGGGAACAGCTTAAGGACCGAGTCAGCCATAACGTGGGCCGCCGAGTGCCGCATAGCGTGGCGGCGCGTGTGGGCCTCGTCAACGGTGCCTGTATCTAGGGTGCCGTGGTCAAGCATCTTTCAATCCTGCGCCGCACAACTCTGGCCTTGGCGCAAATCATGTGAGTGTCCGGTTCATTATAGCCCAACGGCTTCGCATGATTCCGTCATGAACGGATACCGTACTGAGGCACCGCAATTGAACACTTTGGTCCCCGCTCCTTCCCTGTTGCCAGATCCCGACTTGCGGGATGGACAGCGCAATCGTGTCTGAATAACTGATGGCATTTGCCGCTTGCCAAGCCTGGTAACGCCTCCGTACCATATATCCAAATCCTTCTGCGTCTCACACCAATCCTGCTCTGTTTAGGCTGAAGGTGCAGTCGGCGGCGGGCGGAAACGGGGTGTAAAGCGAGAATGGGACAAAATGGGACGGGAATCATAATTTTTTTGTCCCACGACGTCCGGGGTGCTGCCTTTTAGCTTTAAATTCAAGATTTCATCCGCCTGTGGATGGGCAAAATGGGACAGAATGGGACAAAATGGGACTGGTGTGGGAGATTTCAGTCCCATTCTTACCGCGTAATGCTCTCCGGCAACTGCACCGGGCGATCCCATTCCATCACAAGTCCCCCGATTCGACGTCCAGTCGCAAGAGCGCCTCAGCCAAAGCGATTGCCCTTGGGGAATGGGTGCGACCCCATCACTGGAGCGTTGCGCATTCCACGACTATCGGCCCTTGCTGCTCGCACTCCATATTGATGAGACCGTTCTCCTGGTACTTGCCAATGATGGTAGGCGATGACCGGGAAATTAGAATCTTTAAATCGTCCTTCGGGAAATTGGCGTCCAGGCCATAGGGGAGCGCAATCAATGTTTGCCGGCGAATTCAAACAAAATTATCCTGGGATATAATGGCTGTGCCCATTTGATTCAACCTGGGAGAGCGCGAGTATGGCCACGAAAGCCGACCTGGAAGCCTTCAGGACCTCGGTTACCTGTCCCGACGACTTCGACGATTTCTGGAGCGGCATCCTGGGCCACCTGGCCAAGGAGCCGCTGGAGCCTTCTGTTACCCACGACCTGATGCGCAGCAACGACGAAGTCAAAGTCTACCAAGCCACCTACCGCAGCTTGGATGGACTGGAAATCTTTGGCTGGTACAGCGTCCCGGCTGCAGGGGACGGACCATTCCCCGCCATCCTGGTCCTTCCAGGCTACAAGTCTGAACCTGCGTTGCGGCGGGACTGGGGTCGCAAGGGCGTGGCGGTGTTGTCTGTCGCCGTCCGGGGCAAATTGCCAAGCAGCGCAGAGTTCAACCCAGGCTACCCTGGCCTGCTGACCCACGGAATCGAGAGTCGTGAAACATACAGCTATCGCGGAGTCATCTCCGACTGCTCCCGCGGTGTGGACTTTCTTCTGTCAAGGCCCGAAATCGACTCGGACCGCATCTTCTGCTCCGGGAGCAGCCAGGGCGGTGGCCTCACCCTGGCTACGGCAGGTATTCGCGCGGAAATCAGGGGCGGCGTATCCGGCTACCCATTCCTGTGCTGCTACCCCGAATCTATGAAAATGCTCCGCTCCTACCCCTATGACGAACTCTCCTGCTACCTTCGCGCCAACCCTGAACGGGAAGCGCAGATGCTGGAAACGTTGCGCTATTTTGACGGAGTGAACTTTGCGACCCGCATAAAGTGCCCAATGGTTGTGGGTGTCGCCCTCGAGGACGAGGTTTGTCCACCCGAGACCAGTTATGCGGCCTACGACCGCCTCGCCGGAGAGCGCGAACTGTGGCTCTTCCCCGAATCGGGACACGGCAACGCGCACGACTACCCAAAGCAGGAGACCGCATGGCTGGAGCAGCGCATCGCTGCATCGAAAGCGGAATGGGCCGTCTCATGACACCTGCCTCATTTTGGGATAGGACCGAGGCGCAACTGGCGGAGACGCCTCTCGACCTGTCGATCGAACTCGATACGTTCTACTCGCAGCCCGAATATGACGTTTATCAGGTGCGCTACAGCACCACTGGCGGCCACCGCCTCTATGCCTGGCTGTCGGTACCGAAAGACGTTACCGGCCCTGTCCCGGCCCTGCTCCGCATGCCCGATTATGCCAGCGTGCACGACATAATCTACACTTCGCTCCGGCAAAATGCGGTCGTGATGAACGCCACGCACCGCGGGCAGCGAAACGGCGACGGTGCTTACCGGGCCAGCTATCCCGGTCTGCTCACCGATGGCATCGCAGACGGCGAGTCCTGGGTGCTGCTTGGCGCATACGCCGACGCATTGCGCGCCCTTGACGCCCTGATGGCCCAGGGTCGGGCCGAAATCGGAAATGTGGCATTGTGGGGAACCGGGCTGGGGGGAAGCCTCGCTTTGGCCCTTGCCTCCCGGCGATCCCGCGTGGGTGCAGTTGCCGCTGACACACCGATGCCGCTGGGGCATCCATCAGCTCTGGAGTCCGGGCTGGGTTATACCTTGGGGGAGATCGGAGACTTTCTTCGCTTGTACCCAGAACGCCGGGCGGACGTGGAGGCCACTCTCGGCCTGCTGGACCCCATCGGCGACGCCAGCCGTGTAACGTGCCCTGTGTTGCTAAGCGTAGGGCGCTTTGACCGGGGGACATCCCCGGTCGCATTTGCCGAGCAGCTTGGCGAGACCCTTCCAAACTGCGACCTGCGCCTGTATGACGGAGCATCCGAGGGTGGCGGCCACATCCATGCCATGGCCCGCGCCGCTTGGCTTGCCGATCGGCTGGAAATATCGTAATTGATCCGAATCTCTTTATTGGAGACACATTCACCATGGAACAACTAAGGCAGAATCTCGCAGCTCTTACCCTGAAGGTGGCGTCTGTGGTGGAGCGTCTTTGACCTCGCGAGCAAAGAACTTCAGATAGCAGAACTGGAGAAGGAGTCCGCCGAGCCCGACTTCTGGAATGACCATCAACAGGCCCAAAGCAAGATGCGTCAGTTGGGCCGGCTCCGCGACACAGTCGTCCTCTGGCGCGATTTTGAGGCTCGAAGTACTGATCTGCTGGAACTCACCGAGTTGGCCATCGAAGAGGGAGATTCCTCATTTGAGGAACAGCTTGTCGCTGACACGGAAGCGCTGAGCGATGCCCTTGCGCGGGAGGAGGTCAAGCTTACACTCTCAGGGCCGTATGACGAACGCTCGGCGATCATCAGCATTCACTCGTGCGCAGGAGGCACCGACTCCCACGACTGGGCTCAGATGCTCCTCCAGATGTACGTTGGCTGGGCCGAAACCGGGAAGCGGCCAGTGGAGGTGATGGATCTGTCTTATGGTGAGGAGGCAGGACTGCGCAGCGGCATCCTTGAGGTGGGTGGCGATCACGCTTTCGGTTACCTGAGCGCAGAATTGGGCGTGCACCGCCTCGTGCGTCTCTCGCCCTACGACCCCAACCATCTGCGGCACACCTCGTTCGCCAACGTAGAGATCCTTCCTGCCGTTGAGAGCGAGGGGGACATCGACATCCGCCCCGAAGACGTCAGGATGGACACCTTCCGCTCCAGCGGCCCCGGCGGGCAGAACGTACAGAAAGTCGCCTCCGCCGTTCGGCTGACCCACATTCCCACTGGCCTTGTCGTGTCCTGCCAGACCGAGCGCTCACAGCACCAGAACCGCGAATACGCCATGCGCATCCTCCGCGCCCGCCTGCTGAAGCGCCAGGACGACGAGCGTGCAGAGGAACTGGCCAAGATTCGCGGCGAGCGAACCAATCCGGAGTGGGGCCACCAGATTCGCAGCTACGTCTTGCACCCATACAAGTCGGTAAAGGACCACCGCACCAACCTGCAGAGCACCAACCCCGACAACGTTCTCGCTGGCGATATAGACCCGTTTATCGAGGCCTACCTCATGCACCGGCTGGGCAAGGAGGATTAGGGAAAGAGGACGCTGGATTCCGGCGTGCGGCCCCGCCTGGAGCGTACTGAGTAGCAACGCAAAACAAAGGAGCGGTCAATTTGACCGCTCCTTCTGGTGTCTGGATTGCCCTGTCGGGTCTAGCAGTTTCCCAGCAGGTGTCCCATTCGTTGCTTTTTGGTTATGAGGTAGTTGCGGTTCTCGTCGTTGACCGGCACCTCAAGGGGGATGCGGTCCTGAATCTCAAGGCCGAATCCTGACAAGCCAACCACCTTGCCTGGGTTGTTTGTCAGAAGACGCAGCTTGGAGACTCCGAGATCGAGGAGGATCTGGGCTCCTGCCTCGTAATGGCGCATATCAGCGTCGAAGCCCAGCGTCTTGTTGGCTTCCACGGTGTCCAGGCCGTTATCCTGGAGCGAGTAGGCCTTAATCTTGTTGTGCAGGCCGATCCCTCTGCCCTCCTGGCGCATGTACAGCAAGACTCCGGAGCCTTCCTCGGCCAGCGTCTTGAGGGCCAGGTCCACCTGTTCCCCACAATCGCAGCGCAGGCTGCCGAACACGTCGCCTGTGAGACATTCACTGTGGATGCGGAACAAAACAGGGTCGTCCGGTTTCCATTCCCCGGTCGTCAGGGCGATGTGCTCCCCCTGGTCGAAGTAGCTGCGGTACCCTACTGCCTTGAACTCACCATACCGGGTTGGGAGTCGCGTTTCGGCCACTCGCTCGATGAGACGGACTCGACGGTGGCGGCGCGTGAGCCAACCACGACGATCTGTGCGATGCTGAGAATTTTCAGGTCGTGGACCTCGGCAAAGTCCTCCAGATCAGGAAGGCGAGACATCGAACCGTCTTCGTTCATCATCTCGCAGACGATTCCCGCCGGGTACATCCCGCCAGGTTGCACAGGTCCACGATGGCCTCGGTGTGGCCGGGCCGCGCAAGGACGCCTCCGGGATGGTAGCGCAATGGGAACAGGTGTCCGGGCCGGGTGAAATCGTCTGGAGAGGCGGCCGGGTCGATCATGGCCAAGACCGTCGCTGCGCGGTCAAAGGCGGAGATGCCGGTGGTCGTGCCCACCTTGTAGTCCACAGATACAGTGAAAGCGGTCTGTTCTTTCCTGCCGGCGTTTTCGCTGATCATCAAGGGCATCTGGAGCTCGTCCAGCCGCTCGCCGATAATGGGCATACAAAGTAGACCCCGGCCATACTTCACTATGAAGTTGATTGCCTCCGGGGTCACTGTTTCCGCCGACATTACGAGGTCGCCCTCATTCTCCCGGTTCTCGTCGTCAACTACGATCAGCAGTTTGCCCGCTTTTAGGTCGTCCAGTGCCTCTTCCAGACTACACAGGGGCATAATCTAGTCCTTTTCCTGCGCTTGGGTGCCTCTGCCCACGTTCACCGCTTGAGCAGGCTTTCCACATACTTGGCCAGTATGTCGGCCTCCAAGTTTACCCTAGAGCCGACTGATAGTGCATGCAGATTAGTATTGCGGAGAGTGAATGGTATCACAGGCAAGGTGAACGAGGAAGTGCCTACTTTTACCACGGTCAAACTTATACCGTCAACCGCTATGAATCCCTTCTCGACTATGTAGGGCATCAGCCGGGCGGGCGCGCGGACCCGATATATCATCGAGTCGCCGTCCTCTTTGATGGAGGTAATTCGGCCCGTGCCGTCCACATGGCCCTGCATAATATGCCCGCCCATGCGGTCGCTGGCGGAAAGCGCGCGCTCGAGGTTGACCACTCCATCGGCTGACAGGCTTCCAAGCGACGTCCTGCGCATTGTTTCCGGCGACAGGTCTACCGCGAATTCCGAGTTTGAAAACGAAAGGCGTAAAGGAAGGCTAAGTTTTAAGATATGTGCCACTAGCATGAATGTCTGAAATTAACGTTCGGCGAGCACGTAATACATGTGAGGATGCTCTACCACGGATCCCACTTCCTCGACAATACCTGTAAACACTCTTGATGCTCCTCTATCCTCTGGAGAGCGGCCTTTGGGGATAGCCGGTTATCAGCCAGTCCGGCCCCACTTGCTGCAGCGACGTTCCCTCCAGTCGGTGAGTGTAAGCCATCTCCTCCGCCCCCGCGCCCTCAACTGGAGAGGCAGCACCAATCCCGCCGATTATGACCGGGGCGACGAAGGCGTGTACCTTGTCAACAAGCCCATCGTCGAAGAACGACCCCAATGTCTTTCCTCCGCCCTCCACCAGCAGAGTCACGACGCCCCTTCGACCCAGGTCGGCCAGCACTTCCGCTGGGCTGACTAATCCCTCATTGGTGGCGCCCACCGGAACGACGTCGGCTCCGGCTCGCAGCAGTCCACCAATGTTGCCGGCAGGCGCGTTCTCAGTGGTGTACACCAGTGTCTGGCCTGGCTGGCGCAGCAGTTGGGACCGCACCGGCATGCGGCACAGGCTGTCCAGCGTCACCCGAATGGGCTGCCGCGGCAGTGGCTGATTGTCGTACCCGCGGGCGGTGAGCTGAGGGTCGTCGGCGACGATGGTGTTGGCCCCCACCATTATCGCATCTGTCTCCCGGCGCATCTGCTGCACCAGAGAACGTGCCTCCGGGCCGGTCACCCACTTGGAATCTCCTTTATGGGTGGCTATTTTGCCGTCCAGGCTCATTGCGAACTTGGCCAGCACGAAAGGCATGCCGGTGGAGATGTGCTTTGCAAACCCCTCGTACAGCTCGCGGATTTCTCGGCAGGTGGAAAGTTCGCCGTTGTTCAGCGAGACTGTGATTCCCGCCGCCCGGAGTTCCGCGATGCCATTACCGGCTACGACTGGATTGGGGTCTGAAACAGCAACCACCACCTCGGCAACCCTGGCATCGATAATGGCCCCAGTGCAGGGCGGGGTGCGGCCCCAGTGGCAACAGGGCTCAAGGGTTACATAAAGGGTGGCGCCCCGGGCTCGTTCCCCTGCATCGCTTAGGGCAACCACTTCGGCATGGGCCTGCCCTGGTGGCTGGGTCGCTCCCTTGGCCACGACCTGGCCGTCCTTGACCAAAACCGCGCCCACGGCCGGATTGGGGCTGGTGGAGCCCAAGGCAACCCGCGCCAGTTCGATGGCCTGGGCCATGAAGCTCATGTAGGTTTGCCTTCAGCCGGACTGCCGGGACGGGCCGGCGCCGGAAAATTCCTGCGAAAAGCGACTTGCGGTAGGCTCCGTCTGGCCCTGGTACTTGCTGCCCAACCCCTCGGAACCGTAGAGGCGGTCAGCGGGTGTGGTCAGGCGAAGGTAGGATATCTGCCCGATTTTCATCCCGTGATAGAGCGGGAGGGGCAGACAGGGAAAGGGGGCGGAACGCCCAGTGGGGAGGGGCCGGCCAGCCGGAGGAGAGAAGAGAGATGCGAAAACCCAAAAAGACGGCGAAAAGGAGAGGAGGAAAAAAAACTAAAAACAAAAAAAACGACGAAAAGCAGAGAAAAACAAAATGAGAGGAAAGGGAGAGGAATAAAGAGAGAAGTAGAGCAAAGGAGAAGCAGAGGAAAGAGAGAGAAGAAAAGAGAAGAGGAAGAAAGAGAGAAAAAAGCGAAAAAAAAAAAAAAACGAACGAAAGAAGAGTAAGAGAGTAAAGAAGAAAAGGAAATGAGAGGAGAAAAGTTAAAGAAGCGAAAAAAATAAGAAGCACAGGAGAAAGGATAAGAAAGAGCGAGAAAGTAAAAAGAAGAGAAGAAGAGAAAAAGAGAAGCGACGAAAAAAAACGAAGAAGAAAGAAAGTAAACAGAGGAGAATGGAGAAGTAAGATAGAGAAATGATCAAGTAAAAAGTAAATGAGTAATATAATGTAGGATCTATTATAATAAATATTCAAAAAAAAAAAACCCGAAGGGCCGCCGTGATGAATCACCAAGCCGATGCGGCCCAGGCTGCTCTTACCTTCCAGCGGGCACGATGTTCGTCGCAACCTCGATATGTCATTGTGATCCAGCAACGAACTCGCCGGGGTGGAGGATAAAGGGTGCCTCGTCGTCGATTTCAACGGTCTCGGTCAGGTCGTCAAGGCCCTTCTTGACATCTATGTGGGGACGTCTCGAATTCGAAAAGACCAAGAGCTTGCGGTCAAGGCGAAGGTCGACGCTGGCGGGCTGGATGTCGGCAGGATCAAGGGGCTCAATCACGATGCGGCCTTTTTCCAGTTCCTCCTTTATCGTCCTGTCGCTTAGTACCATCGGCTATTCTTTCGTTTCCCTATTCCTCGAGGTTTGTGCGAATTTTAGCAACGAGGCCCAACCCTAGCAAGCAGAAGGGAAGCGATCACATTGCCTATGTCCGACGTAGCAGCAGCACACGCTACGGGCCCTCCGAGGGAGCGATGAGATAAACACCATTGACTGTGGTCGTAATCTCAATCTCGCCAGCGGCAATTGACGTGTCAGCTGCCGACTCCGCGGATGCCATGGCTGCCCTGGCGTACAACGGCTGGGGAGAATAGAAGTCCGTGGCCTCCTCAAGGTTGACCAGTCTTCCGAGCGTTACACCGGCCAGGTCGGCCATGGTTTCCGCCTTCTCCTGCATCGCCGCTATGGCCTTGGCCCTGGACTCCTCCCTGAGTCCCTCGGGATCCTCAATAGTGAAGCTGATGCCGTTCACCCTGACCAGGTCGCCTGCTGCTTCGGTGACTTGGTCGATGATCATTCCAGCCTCATCCAGATCGCGAATCTTCACGGACGCCTGGTTGGAAACCGCATAGCCAATCAGTTTGAGCTCCCAGGTCGTGGTGCAATCCTGTTCCGGGGACAGGCTCTCTTTGCTCTCCTCTTCTTCCCCGCAGTCGGTTACCCGAACGTTCTGATAGCGCTGATGTT